ACACACACACACACACACACACACACACACACACACACACACACACACACACACACATTTAAACAAAAACTCCCTGGAGTATCAGTTCCTTATGTCCACATGCTTGTTTGGCATTGACCGGTAGACTTGAAGTCTAGCAGACATCTTAGTTGATTTAATACCTGAGCACCTGATGTCCCCCTAAATCTACTTCTCCCACAATCTCTCCCATCTCAGTTAATGCAGTACAAACTTTTGGTTGCTAAGGCCCCCAGTTTTGGAGCCATCCTTGATTGTTCTTGTTTCTTTCACCCCCTATCCAATTTATTCACAAATCCTCTCAGCTCTACCTACAAAATATATTCAGAACAGGATCACATCTCACCATCTTTAGTACCATTGTTGCTCGCCTGGATCATTGCAGTAACCTTCATATTGGTCCTCCTGACTCCTGCATGCAATTTGGATGAAAATCTACATTTTAGGATTGTCATATGCTTTTATGTTTTTCAAAACTATGGTGACAGTGAGGTATTTTGGAAAGAGCAGATATTTAAATCTAGATAGTCCTTGGTTTGCATTATAGTTGTGATGGTTACTAGCTGTGTGGCCTTAGAAAATTCATTCTTTCTTTCTGAGTCTCTTGGTTTCTTCATCTGTGAAGTGGGCTGATGATATCTACATCCTGGGTCTCTCATGCAGATGAAGAGAATTCACACTAAGTAACTAGCAACAGTCTGGTACACAGTATGTGCTCTGTAACTGTTCATTTTCGTGTTTCCTCTCATTCATTCAGCTGGGATAATGTCAAACTCCTTCCTGTGGCATATAAGGCCTCTACAGTTGTGACCCATCTTCTTTAAGCTAGACACCTCTACCTCCTCACTAAGTATCCCATGCTTCAGCTACAGTAAATAGCCAGTCTTTCCCAAACCCACCCTCCTTACCTCCTCCAACAAACACATATTTAAGACACCCAGATGGCCTCCCTGGTGCCTGTCTACATCTTTCACATTGATAGAAGATTGACGTCGTGTATGCAAGTCTGACAATATTATTAACGTCATTCTTCCACGGGAGGGTTTCCATGGCACATATAATAATGTCCAAACTTCCAAATGTGGCGTACACGTGC